ATTGTATTTTAGTATATATATATATATATATATATATATATATGAAACATTATGAATATATATATATATATATATCTTATTCGTAACAAGATAAAATAAACACATACGTTGTCAGTATGTGAGCAGCAGGCGGTCGTGTTGGATCAGCAAAAAATTCAGGTTGCTAGCGAAATGGTGCAAGCCATGTTGTACCGATGCCGTGCTGTTGCCATTAAGTGGATGCATTTCTATTAAAGTACATGCGTGTATATAATTAATGTGAATATGTTGGTGTTAGTTCAATGCTGTTCCGGTGCTATTAAATAGGCAACGACCTTTATGCATATATTACATATTTTACATCGAAAGTGTAAATTATAATATTATTAGATATTCAGAATAATAATTTATATTGAAAATTTAACAATAATAAATATTAATAAGAAATTATGTTAATATATTGATTTATATAAATTAACTATGTTTATTTATATTTTTAACTATCAATATTGATACAAAATAATGCAAAATATCATATAATATATATAATATAATATGATAATTTATATTATTTTATTAAAAATATAATTAATAAAATAATTAATAATATATTAATAATATAATACCTTATATAATTTATCAGCATTTTTAATTTCAAATCATATTAAAATTTAATTTATATTAAAAATTATAATGTATTATCTATATTTTTATCATACTTTTATATAGAATATTATATCATTTTAATATTTTTATATATATTTATGACAAATATTGATATTTGATTTTTAAATATTGCATTGATCATTCTCTTTTATTATTTCATTAATTTATTATTATTTAATTTATATAATATATTGATATAATTTATTAGAATTTTTAGAACATTAAATCTTGGTCATTTAATTTTTAATATAGTAAGTATAATAATATAATTGGCTTATTTCAATCACTCAAACAATATAATGATTGATTTAGATTTTTTTGTATTTTTAGATTTTACATATTTTACATATTTTAAATTCTAAAATGCTTTTTTTGTATTTTGATTTTATGGTCACATTAATATATAATTTGGATTTTGAATATAATTTGAATTTTTTGATTTTTGTATTTGATTTTTTCTTAATTTTTTATTTAAAAAATCATTTAATATCCTTCTAATTTTTTTGATGATTTAACTTAAGTTAGATTTTTCCTGTTTTTTTTTGTAGTATATAAATCTAGATAAAAATTTTAAAAAACACAAGTCGAAATTTTTATTAAAACTACAATATATTGATATATATTTTAATAGAAATTAATTAGTTAGTTATTAACAATTTTTAATTCTCTTTAAACTTTAATTTTATATTTTAACACAATGGTACAAATTTTTCATCGTTATTATTATATTATCAATAATTTAATTAATTAATAATTATAATTAATAAGATAAATTTTTTTATTTTTTTATAATTTATTACAATTAATTGTACAATAATTATTGCATTATTGCATTTGCATATATATTACATCAATCTTTCATATTTATCATATTTTTTTATATTATTTATCGTTTTATCTTTATTATATGTTATATGATGTTTTGACATACACATTACGTAAAATAATTTAAATATTTTCATATTGCATATATGATAATATATATACATACAATGTCATTTCTGCTGTATAATATCTTTCGTTGTGAAACCAAACATACGAAATTACATCTTGAGAGGTTAAAAGTTAATGAAATGATGAATATGTTTTGCTTATGAAAATGTATACATTATTATTTCCTGAATTTTTTCTTAATCCTTATCGGACGTAAACACTTTGCACTTGCCGCCAGATCGTCTGTTTATTAAAGGCTCGCGTGGAAAGTGATGTAAAATTACATCATGGAATTTGTACTTATATCTGTATTAATCATTTTCGTTGTTTCGTAATATGAACCGTTAATATGGTTAATTTAAAACACATTATAAAATGAGAAATATATAAATGTATATTTAGCAATAGGATGATTTCACGTATTTAATTTTATCATCGCTTTTATTATACATCCGATAAAGTAAAATTGAGTATAATTATCATACTAAAGATAACATGTGATAAGTAACGAAAATATTTAAATGTGATAAAAAAAATTATTGCGTAAGAATATTATTGTAGATAATGAATTGCATTTTCTTAAACAAGTTGCATTTATAATACATGTATATAGTGAGAAATATAAGTGAATCGACGAATAAGTGAACTATTCAATGATATTTTAAACTGTTGTAACTTCGTAAAAAGAAATGGTACAACAATCATTTTGAACTCATTCTAAAGCGTGAAATTTCTACTTTCACAATCTTGAGTTCGTTTCTTTTAAAGATATTTTTACATCATGTAGTAAATAGAAAAGAATAGTGAAGATACTTTCTAAAAAATTTGAAAAATTCAATCGGTTATAAAGACACTGAAAAATTATTTTCATGACTAAATCCAGAATAAACACGAAGATTGAAGTCTCTTCTTTATTTCATAATTCCTTAAAACTTGCTATTCGATTTTTTTAGCCAAGTTATAAAATATTGAATTATTGAATTATTAAAATTAGACAAAAAAAATTCTAAAAATATTAATTTTTTGTCATTTTTAAAAATTCAAGTTCAATAATTTGACAAAAAAAATCGTATAACAAGTTTATTTTTTTATTTTACATTAAGATATATAATTATGAAATTTGAGAAATTCATTGAGAAATTTATTGAAAAAAAAAATCAAAAATAAAAAGTTTGAATATACATATATAGCAATTCTTAAAATTTTTATAATTGTTTTTAACATTTCAGATCGGCATATTGGTTTTGGAGCAGCAACCACTGTTCTACTTACCGATATTGCCAAATACACGATTGGACGATTGAGACCACATTTCATGACTCTTTGTGAGCCTAACGTCAATTGTAGCCTGATAGAAAATCAGCATAGGTACATTGAGAATTATTCCTGCAGCCAGAATATCTCGAAGACTCTTTTAAAAGAGATAAGGTAAATATATATATATATATTATATGATGGAACAAAGAAATCAATTGTATATAATAGCAAAAAAAAATTAATATTCCAAATTTGTGTATAAAAAATGATTTCTATAAAATTACTCTTTTATTATTCATTAATATTTTTTTTCAATCTCATAAATGTATTATTATTTTATTAAAATGAACATGTAAAATGATGTTCGCAATGTATATGAATATGTTACTAATTTCCAAATATAATCCAAATTTCTTCATTTTAAAATTAATATTATATAATAATAGATATAACATTATTTCCTGAAACAAAAATTAGATTTTTTGTTAATTACTTTAAAAGATTTATGACATTTAAAAATTTATTATTATTAAATTATAACAATTGAAGTTCACATTAGATAAAACGAGACATTTATCTCTGTTACGTCATTTTCACAAGACTATTTTTTATCGGCGTTTTATCTAAAAAAACTTTAATTGTTTAATAACTTTGTATTGTCAATTTTTCTTTTAACTTCTAAAGTTCTCTTTAAAAGTTTCTTCAAAAATGAATATATTAATCTTCTGACATATATTATATACATATAAGATGTGTCAATATACAATGACGCTAATCAGAATCTAGTAACATTATATAAACGCATTATAATTTTGTTATTTAAAATATGATATAAATCTATTTTATGTAATTTTAATTTTAATTTTAATTTAATTAAATTATTAGGCCAAATGTATTAGGCACAGTTTCCATATTATAATTGAAATTCATGTGACTTTTATCAACTTCTTTCAAAAATGGAAAGTTATTTCAAGTCATTATTTTTAAGAAAAATGCTTACAATATAGAAGATTGTAACCAAAAAAACTTTCACTTCAGTAGTATCTTTTTAATATTGTCACGAGGAAACTGAGAACAATGACTTCGTCAATGTATATATATGCTTTTCAAAGAAACTGTTTCGAAAAAGATAATGTATATTTTTTATAATAACAAGAGAAAGATTTGCGGTTATTATTTTTTAAAACACACCATGTATATTCCTTCTTATATATATGCCAGATATTTTGAAACGATCGTTTTAATCGACAGTGCGAAAATGATCTTTTAAAACAGCGATAAAGTTCAAGTAATTTTCATTCACCTTGAATGAGTCACAAGATAATTACCATGTTCAAGTGCAAGTGGACATAATTTAAATAGTACATGAAAATCCATATCATTCAAATTATTATTTATCTCTTAATTTATCATTATTATTAATTATTATTATTGATTATTAAATATTTTCTCAGAAAATCGTCATTTTTAGAATTTAAATTTTTTTATTTTGAAATATTAGATTTTTTGAAAAAAAATAGATAAAAGTAATTGAATAAAAGTTTTTGAACTGAATTTATTCGACCATAAATCATCCGATAATTTACCAAAAGAAAATATTTCATATCAAGTTTCAATTTTTATTTAAGCATACAACAACCTTTAAAAAAGTTTTAGCATTACAGATTTCATATGTTAAAGAAATCTTTCAGATTTTTCATTGTAAACGTAGTAAATGAAAATTATTAAATGTATTTTGTTTTATTGTTCTTTTATATTTTTAAGTATCATATTATATAAAACACTTTAGTTTGTAATACATTACTTATATATTAAATTTTTTTAAAATTAATTAAAGATTTTTATAATATGAATTTTTGCTATAGTCTGTTATTGTTAATCTTAAATGATATAATCTTGAATGATTATAAATAAATTTATAAAAAAGAAATATTATAGAGATAATCGTATTTCCATATGCGGAATTTTGTAACCTTATTTGAATGATTTTAGAGAAAAAAGTAAATTCTAGGTTTAAAAGAAACAAAAATAACTATATATAAAACAAATAATGCGCAAAATAACAATTAAAAACTTTCATTTTCAATAAAAATTATTTATAATTAAGAAAATTTCTGAAATAAAAATAAAAATTTAACGATACAAAAATGAATAAATTTTTAATAATAAATTAATTAAAAAAATAACTTATAAATGCAGACTTTTTAAATAAGTAATTAAATAAAAAATAGCCACTTATCATTTGCAGTTATTAATTTTATTATTGGCTTTTAAACATCAATATTGCATAATACATATTGCATAATATCTATTAATAATGAAATAATAGAAAATGTTTTAATTTGAAATATTTAAAGTTATACACATAAATTACATTTTTTTGATTTGATTATTATGCTAGAAAAAAACATAAAAATCTTTAAAACGTTAAAATGTCATAATCCAAAAAGAACTGAGAATGTATTGTGTCAATATCCAAAATTTTCAATATTATATCTAATTTCAATATTTTTTTGATAGTAAAATTTTAAATCTGAAATATAAATAGATGACATGCTAAATTTATGCTAAATAGTAAAATTTTTGTAAAAAGAAATTATATATTTTATGTCACATGAAGGATATTTGAATATCTGAGTATTAATACAAAAGTTAATTTGACAAAAAAAAAATACATAATAAAGATACATATCAAATAAATACATATAACAGGATGATTTTACATAACTCTTAAGAATATTTTCGGAAATTATTTTCATAACAAATGTATCACATTATCAAAGTATTAAATGTTAAAAGAGAAAAAATATATGATACAATAATACATACAGTAAATAATAGAATAATTTTATATAATTCTTGGAAACATACTTAAGTTATTTTCGTAACAAATGAATCACATTGTCCACAAGTATAATTTAATCTAAAATTGATTTACGTGTTTTTATTTATCGAGTTAAGAAGTGAAAGATCATTCAGAAGTATCATTTTATTGAATATCATCAATCATCTTCAATACCCTTTATATGCGGAATTTAAGTACCATAAAAATATAATCATTCGCATACCGTGGTAGTGTCGTCAGTATGAAAATATGTAGCGTTAACTATAGAAACTAAATACGTCACAATTAAGGAACTTGATATCAGCTATGTAATTTTCACAGGAATTTCACTTTAAATTAACGATTGCCATCATTCGAAGAAATTAAAACTTTAACTATTAATTTTAAACTATTAGTTTAGTTCTCTAAAAAGATATGTTTTTTATTATTTATTATTTTTAAATTAATAATTATTTAATTTTTTTTAATTTGTTTATTTGATTCCTTTTGTTTAATCTGTTAAAATAATAAAAGCACAAATATTATTACATAAATATTAGTAGAAAAAGATAGTGTATAAAATTTTCCTTCATTTTTTTGCATAATATCTATTTCGTAACAATGTTATTACAAAGATTAAATCTATCATTCATCTATTATATATTTATGGTATATTACATACGTATAAATACGATTCTAGAAATCAAAATAAACACATAAATGATATAGAAAAATGTTGATTAAAGCTTACTTATTAAATTATAATCAGATCTCTCTGTCTCCGTTATATCATTATCGCGACAGTATTTCCATCTCGTTTCGTCTAACACAAACTTCAATTGTTTATAACTTAACAAATAAGTCTCAACCGATATTTTTGTATACCAACTTTTATGTTTGTTTTGATCTCTAGAATCAACTTTCCAAATATGTTTCATATATATTAACATCCTGTATATTCTTATAATATCCTATATATTCTTGTAAATGATATAAAAAAATGTTTTTTTTCATCAAGTTAGTGAAGTTATCTATATCTCCAAATATAACTTTCGTGTTTGAGAACATTATGTTATTGTTATTACAATAAACACCTTAAAATGTAGATCTTTCGCTATTGAACAACAACAACAGCCAATATCTAGTGATTAATAAATAACAACAAAGATAATAAGAAAAAAAATCAAAACAGTTTCAAGAAATGCTTAGGATGACTATTATGGAGATAGTATTTATATATTAGCTAAATATATTCTTGATCCATAAACAGAATTTTATAAAATAAATTTTCATGGAGGAATCATGATTATGTTCCTGTGAGATTAACTTTATATGTAAATTTATTCTTATATTTATTCTTTGCATAAATGAATCGAGGAAAATTGTAACCATGTGAATGTTATCATGAATACGATTGGTATTGGAATTTAAAGCGGAAATTAAAACTTCACTTGATCCGTTGCTAACATCTTTTATCGTTTTATATGTAAATTAAGCTGTAATATTTTCTTTACCATATTTATTTAAATTCTAAATTTACATTTCACACGTCTCTTAAAAATGATTATTAACGGTTTAAAATGGAAATTAAGATCTTATTTGATTAGGTAGATTAACTTCTAATTTTAACTTAATTTTAACTTACAATTTTGTCTAATAATTTCTATTAATATGTAAATGCGACTAAATTCAATTAAACTCCATTTCGTTATATTTAACTATTGCAATTTGAGAATTAAATGTATATATTTATACATAACAAAATAGAAAATGAAATTCTATAAATAGAATGAAATACACAAAGATAAAATTCTAATGTAACAGGTTATACGAAGGGTAAATAAATAAATAAATAGAGTAAATTAAAATGATTTTTTTGCTAACTCGGATAATTTTTACCTTGGTATTATTAGATTTTAAATAAAAATCGAAATCTGATTTTTAAATTCACAAAAAAATTGAATTCGAAATTCTCGAAACTCTGAAAATTCAGAATCCTTAATTTTTTTTCTAAAAAATATTTTTGTCAAGAATTAAAATTTTAAAAAAATTCTTCATTTAACTTTTTAATTTGCAAAAAATTTTCATTTTTTCTTCTGGATTTTCAAGAATTTCAAATTACAAAATTAGCAAAAAAGTTTAACAAAAAAGCAGAATTTTTCTGAATTTCGAAGAATTATTTTGATTTCAAAGTTTAAAACATCGTCTTGAATATAGAAATTTTATATTATTTGTTATATTATACACATTAAGATCACATATCAAACAAAAAATAAAAAGCATTTTATAAATTAATATAGATTTAATCTACGTAGCCTTACTTTAAACGCTAATACTAACTATATAT